GGTCCCCTGAGAATTCAAAGTCATTTTTTGAGAATTATACTTAAATTCTTTTTTAAGAAAATGTATAGTTTTAGTACAGCAGCCTTCCCACCAGTGTCCTATATAAAGTTTGTGATTAGATAACGTCAAATAATTTTAAATATTTCCCATAGCTCCTTAGGTCCTGTTTCCCAACATTTGTGTAAATATGTCTGCAGATGCTACCTGCAAGTTGTGGGCAGACTCCTTTAGGCTTCCATCTTTAGTCAACTGCAACCTCCTCTCTTCTGAAATTTACAGTATGCATTGGCATTTTGAAGGTTTGAGAAATTATTAAAGAAATCCATTTAACTTATAGTGGTACTTTTTAAGGTATTTGTCCTGAAACTTTTTCAAAATTGTAATTTACATTTGATAAAATGTTGAGTTTTGTGAGTTTTATAATTGTATTCTCATATAATTTCATCTTTTGGCTGAGGTTTGCTATTCTGTCTTGTAATTGATTGAGTGTGGAATGTTTGTAAGAAAATAGTACAGATTGAAGTAAGCATTATTTGCTTCCAAGAAATGGGCCATCATTCTATATAATAAAAGCCTAATATGCAAATTGTCCCCTTAGGCGGTTGTTCCATCAGGAGTTGGACCACTCACTATGATGTGTGCTGACCACCAGGGGGAGGCATGGAACGTGACGGGTGTTGGTGACACACTGCGACCTCTCACCGGGGGTGGGGGTGACAGGACAGAGGTGTGGTGAGAATGTGGGTGTCCACCAAGCTTGCTCACACTCCTGGTACCCTCCCTCTGGGATGCCAGGGCTTGCACACTGGGGAAGCCCCCGCCCTCAGGTGCCTGGCAGCTGCAAAGAGCCCACCCCTCACCGTGCGGCATCTTCCAGATGAGCCAGGCCAACAGCTGCCAGGATTGCAAGGGCTGGTCAGGCTCCCCATGGGTTGGTCCAGGAGCTGGTCTGCGAGGCTGGCCAGGAGAGTGCGCATTGCCTGCCCAGCTTCCATGCAGTGCTGCTGGGTGGCCCAGAGGCCCACTCTGTGCTCTGACCCGCAGCAACTGGTCGTGATCACCACATCTTCGTATGGGGACTTGGGCGCTGTGGCTCAGGTGGAGGAGACAGTGGGGGTGCAGGGGCGCAGGGGCCCAGCTGCTGCCAAGGGCCCAGAGGTCAGCTGAGACCTGCCCTTCCACACCAGATGCTTGCATTTCAATCACCGGCCAGGCCTAGGGATTGCACCAGTGCACGAATTTCATGCACTGGGCCTCTAGTTTCTTAAGATAGTCTGATAGTGGGGCTAAGTCAGTAGGATGAATAGTGGAGTTAATTCTGGGCTTTGTTGCAATTTCACTTCGATTTCTTTTAAGTACTTTGAGAGCAGGATTAGGACTTTTCACTTTCTGCAAGATTTGTTGTCTGATTGTAATTTCAGTTATTTCTTTGTGCATTATATCTGAGCCATCAGCTGTGGGACCTTTGGGCATTTTCTCTGCTTTATAGCCTGTCTGTTCTTTGGTCATTCTGGAGTACTTTGTGCTCAGCCCTGCCCCAGGCTTTTTTGTGTCTATTGTGAGAACCTCTCTACCTTCCAAGGTTTTCTCTCAGCAGACCTACCTGTTTGGTAATAATGTACAGAGTTTCTGGGTGGAAATAGTTCTCTCAACTCTCCTGTCTAACCTCAACCCTTGGCAGCTTAATGTTTGGAGAGTTTTGGAATAATTTTTTTTCTTTTTCACTTTTGCCCATCCCACCCTTCTTCCCCCATCAGAGGACAGATTTATTGCATTTGAGGAAGACTGTAAGTTTCTTAGGCTATCTCTCAGCTTTCCAGCTCTGTCCCCCAATCTTGGTAATTTTTTCAAGCACTTTGGTGAAGACCTGTGGGAATGAGTGATTTGCTTTGTGGAATTCTGATATGTCTTGTCAGCCTATATGTTAAGATTTATTAAAGGTAGGCTGGTTTCTCTTATGGTGGAATTATTCCTCCTTAGCCCCTCCATCAGGAAAAGACACCATCTGTGAGCCTCTCTTCTATCAGTTAATTCCACTTAGGTTACTATGCATCCTTATCTCTCTGATGGGTTCAGAAAAACTATGATTTTGTAGCTTACATGACCTGTTTTGATTATTAGGGTGAAAGTGATGGTCTATTGTGATTTTCTATAAACTGATTAGGAATAGAACTCCTCTCATGGATATTTTTGTTTTGTTTTGTTTTGCTTTGTTTTGTTAATCCTCACCTGAGGATATTTTTCCATTGATTTATTAGGGAGAGAGAAAGACAGAGCGAAACATCAATGTGAGAGAAAGCACATGAATTGGTTGCCTCTGACCAGGGCCAGGGCCCGAGGAGCCTGTAACCAAGGTACGAGCCCTTGACTGGGATCAAACCGGACACCCTTTGGTCTGCAGGCTGACGTTCTATCCACTGAGCCAAACCAGCTAGGGCATCATGGAATATTTTTTTAATGTGTAGTTTGGTAAGTATCTGGTAAATTTGTTATTTCAGTCTAGTTGATTTTCTATAATAGTTCTCAGAACTAGGTTTCTCAATATTTTCATCTTAACTTTTCAGTTCTGTCCTCAAGCGGTCAATGATCTTTCTTATCTCTTATTTTGAGATTAAAGTCATCAGCATTAAAATTTAATTGAGGGTCTTGTGAAGAGTATGGGAATAATTTGTAGGTACATAGAAAACCAAGCAATAAAAAACAGAGGAAATGAACTCAAAGGGAAAAAGAGTTGTACACAAAGGGAAAAACAATTAAGTAATAGTTTACTACTAATCTCATCAGAACTACAATTGGGCGTTAATTATCTTAAAGGTTGGAAGAATGTGAGTGTTGTAGTGTAAATCCTCATTTTCCACTGAAAAATGAACAGATATTACCTAAATTTGATATTTCAAAGTAAACCATTATATAAGTCTATTACAGTAATGAATACTGTCCCCACTCCCTGGTTACTTAACAGCTATCTCAGTTATTAGATCAGTTATCAGAAAGAGAGAAGAGATAGACAGTAATCACCCCTAATCCATTGGGAACACATTCAAAGATTCCCACCCACCCACCCACCCCCAGTGGATGCCTGATACGACAGGTAGAACTGATATCTCTCCCCCCCCCTCTCTCTCTCTCTCTCTCTCCCACTGTCTCTCCCTCTCTCTCTCCCCCCTCTCTCCCTCTCTCTCTTCCCTCCCCCCCCATCCTATATAATAAAGAGCTGATATGCTAATTAGACCAAACAGCAGAATGACCTTCCAGACAAAGCTTGAGCCCCTTGGCACAAATTTTGTGCATCGGGCCTATAGAGTGTGTGTGTATGTGTGTGTGTACTATTTCCCCCTATAATACATATTTATGGTAAAGTTTATAAATTAGACATAGTAAGAGATTAACAATAATAAGTAATTAAATAGAACAATTATAACTGTTATAATAAAATTTACATGAATGCAGTTTGTCTTTCTCTTTCTCTCTTTCTGATAATTGATCTAATAACCAAGATGGCTGTTAAGAGACCAGGGGCTGGGGACAGTATTCATCATGGATATTCTTGAGATAGGGATGATTTACATCCTGGGTGGGATAGAGTGGGACAGTGCTAGATTTCCTCATGCTACTGAGAATGGTATGCAACCTAAAACTTATGAATTATTTCTGGAATCATGCATCTAATAATTTTGGATTGCTGTTGACTGGGTAACTGAAATCTTGCAAAGTGAAACTGCAGATGGGGTCTTGAGGGGTTAGGAAGGGGTGGTTACGGAGACTACTGTACTGAGTTATAAATAGCAAGGTTAAATAAAAGTTTTAAGATTTTAAAAAATTATATCTTGGTGTGAGAAGAATAGCTATGTTTGATTATACTCACTATGCACATTACTTAAAAATGAAAATATATTTTTTAAAAGAAGCTTAATTAAAAATCTCCTCAAGGGATGTAAAAGTGAACCAAAGAGGGAGAGATAGAAGCATCAATGATCAGCTGATAGAGAATCATTGATCAGCTGCCTCCTGCACAACCTCTACTGGAGATCAAGCCTGCAACCCAGGGCATGTGCCCTGACTGGGAATGAAACCATGACCTCCTACTTCATAGGTTGATGCTCAACCACTGGACCACACAAGCCAGGTCCCAAACCTTTTCTCAACACACTGTGTCTTCCTTTATTTCTTAACTAGAGTCCCAGTGCATGACATTTGTGCACTGGGGATGGGGTGGGGGGGTCTCTCAGCCTGGCCTGCACCCTCACACAGTCCAGGATCCCTTGGCAGGGAGTGGGCCTAAGCCAGCAGGCCAACATCCCTTGAGGGATCCTTAGTGCTGCTGCAGAGGCAGGAGAGGCTCCCACCACTGCCACTATGCTCACTAGCTGTGAGTCCAGCTTCTGGCTGAGCGGGCATGCCCCCTGTGGGAGCATACTGACCACAAGGGGGCAGCTCCTGCTTTGAGCATCTGCCCCCTTGTGGTCAGTGCTCATCATAGCAACCGGTCGTTCTGCCATTTGGACAATTTGCATGTTATATAGGATTCTTGTTACATATTTTACACTTTCCCCTTCTTATAACTTTAGAGTTTGTTTCATGATATCAAATCAGTTACAAAAGTTCAGAATTTGGGGAGAGTGAGCTTGTAAAATTTAAAAAAATATTTTTGTGAATGTTTTGAGAATTAGATTGAAGTTCTAAAAAGTGAGAAAAAGTTTTTCTTTTGGTGAAAGTATTTTAATTATTGACACTATTAAAAGTTAATATAGTATTAATAGTGATTAACTGGTCTAGTATTGATAAATATATTACTTCTAAAATTATTATATATACCCACTTACAACATTGTTTTTCTTGAAAAGGGTTTATTTCCATAATTTGTTTAAATTAATTAAGATATTTTAATGGGTGAAGAAGAGAACTTCTGAAAAATCTGTTGTGAAAGTAGTAATTTGAATTTCTGTTTCATTTTGTAATTTGATATCATGTTGAACTAATTACTTCCATATCTTTTCTAGGTTAGATAAAAGAGGATATTTCCTTCGTGTAGATTGCTGCCTTTAGTAAGAACATGTCGTCCATCTTGCCATTCACTCCACCAGTTGTGAAAAGACTGCTGGGATGGAAGAAATCAGCTGGTGGATCCGGAGGAGCAGGTGGAGGAGAGCAGAATGGACAGGAAGAAAAGTGGTGTGAGAAAGCAGTTAAAAGTTTGGTGAAGAAGCTAAAGAAAACAGGACGATTAGATGAGCTTGAGAAAGCTATCACCACTCAAAATTGTAATACTAAATGTGTCACCATACCAAGGTAAGTGTTATCAGATCAGAAATTTGATGGTCGTCATCCTGTTGAAAATTGCTTGAAGGAATCTGAAGAATTATTAAAATTTTGTTACTCTCAAGTCACCTGTAAATAGTAATTATTAAAATAGGACAACTATTTTTAGCTTGTTGTATTAATTTTGATGTACTCTTTAGACTTATTTTATAAGTAATTTTCTTGAGCAGTGAAGTTTAATCAAGCAAAATAAAATTCTTCCAATATGTTAAGTTTTATCTTCACTGTCTTCTTTTGACTTTGTTGCCTAAATGCTTCCATGGGTTTTATCTAATTTCTGTGATTGAATGACATTTGGGTAAAGATTCAGTGCTTTTCTATCTCTAGTGCAATACTGCTAGACAGATTTCTCCCTCTTGGTTAAAACTTCACTCAGTGAGGAGTTGAAAGAGGCTACTACTATTGTGTTGAATTGTATGTATTATTTTGTTTGAGTTGTAGTGTTTCTTCCAAAAAAGTACAATATGTAAGGCAGCTTCTTAGATGCTAGACATGTCTTAAAGACCTACCTCTTGTATTTTACTTAAGAGGTCAAGTTTTAATGTAAATTTAATAATTTATCGTTAAGTACCACTGTGAGAAATACTGTTTGTTTTTTAAATAACGTAGTAGATATTTTTTAAGTGAGTCATTCCTTTTTATGTACGTTACAGGGCTTTTTGGGAGTGTCTTCATAAAAGGATTGTTTGTCGTGTCATGCACATGGGCTGGCATATGGGTATAGCACATGAAACCATTCCACTTGACATGTTTTCAAAGAGCTTTTGGAAATACACTCTGGGTGCTTGTTGATAATAGATCCAGTAGCACTCCACCTGTCTACTTGCAAATACTAATAGTAGACTGTTTCCTTCTTGTTTGGTAGATTATTTATTCATTTATTTTACCTGTTTCATATATATCTTAAGAGTCATTTTTCTTGTTTTATTCTTTTGTTTTACAAACGCTTATGAGTACCTGATGTGTGCAAGGTACTGTTCCTAGGCACATGGGGATACAGTGAGGAACAAAACACCAAGTTCCTGCCCTCACGAAGGATTGATGTATAAAACTAACAAGTGGAAAATATAATTTGGTAATGATTGCAAAAAAGATAATGATTGAGGGATAAAAAAAGCCACTTTGGATTGGCTTGTGATTTTTTAACCTAAACTTTGAGAAGTACCAAGCTAGCTGAGAATTGAGTCTTCTAGGTGTAAAGACTCTGAGATGAAAAATTATTGGAATAAAGCTCTGTAGAGTTGGAGTAATACAGAATGAGTACAAAACTTAGAAGGTGTCATATCATATAGAGCATTGTAGGCACTGTGATAGTTTGAATTTTAGTATGAACTTAGTAGAAAGCATATAAGGATTTTAATGGATTTCTAAAATTTAAATCCAGCTTTTAGAGAATTTCTTACATTTCACTTTTACAGACTGCTGGGGTCATGGTGGTGATGGGGATTGTGGTGTGAGTGTGTGTATGTTTTAAAATGAATGGTGGGTCTGGAAGCAGAGAAATCGGGAGGCTATTATGGTAACCTAAATGAGATTCGGCAGGCTGGACTGGCGGTGGCTGAGCATATGTGAAGTGAATGAATTTGGCATGTGTTTTGGAATTACAGCTGATAGGACTTGCTAATGAATTGGCTAAGAATAAGTCAAGCTATGACTGTTAAGTTTTCATTGTGTAGCACCCCAGCATTTCAATTCAGTAAACATTTTTCAATTAGCCACTACATATATGATAGGCTCTTGGAGTTAAAATACAATTTCTACATTTGAGCCACTTTCTGTTAAGGGAGACAAACTTTAAAAATATAAAAAAAGATAAATTTTGTAAGGTGCAGTAGGTGTTATGAAAGATGTTTGCTCAGGGAGCTATGTCCAAAGGAGGAGAACTTTGCCTACTTTGTGTCTTGTGGAAAGTTTCCTTCTGGAGGAAGATTGGTACCTGGATTGAATTTTGATGGATATAAGGGAGGAATTTAGTTAGAAAAATCCCAATTCATCCAGAGTAGCACTGTGGTATTGAGAGTGTGGTGGTAGGGAAGGGCTGGTGAAGGGTTCTAAGTTACCTTGTTTCCTGGGAGTGTGAAGTGGGAGTGGGACATGACAGGAGTGAGTTTATGTATGTGTTTACAAGAAACTACACTGGCCTGAGGAGTTTACGCTGTACCTGAATATAATTGGGGGTGGATTCGTTGAAGAGTCTTAGGTAAAGAAGACTCATAAATCAAATTAATTTTAAGTATAGCATCTGGCTGCAGTGAGGAAAATGGTTGTGAGACTGTCAAGAAGGGAGGCAGTTAGAGTATGTTGTCTCCCTCATCAAAGTGATGTAATCCAGAGGTATGTAGTCATATTTTTGCCCAGCTTCATCTAAGGCTCAAATTGCCTTTGCTGTGAGATAATTGACAGAGCAGAGCCTAAGAGTAAGGGTATGCAATCCTATCCTTTAAGAAAGCATAGTAGGTAGCAACCTACTGATTAAAATTTACAGACATGGGTATTTAAACTGGAGGTTAACTGAGTCAGATCTCTCTTCCTTACTTTTTATTCTCCTTTTTGTAGTCTTTTGGAGACTTCATATTCTAGGGTTACTTCATTTAAGGTCTTTTTCTACCCTTAACTCTATGAAAGCAAAGTAGTGGTTGTCCTTTACATTATCTTGTGTTTTACCATCAAAAGTTCCTTGAAGCTTAGAAACTTGCTTGTCTAACTTTGTGTTACTTTTATATTGTAGAAATGTAGATTTGTTAATATTGCTTGTGTCTTTCAAAAAATTTAAGCTTCTTACACTATGGTGTGATCCCATATATTTTATAAAGTTTGCTTTGTTTTCAAATGGTATGTTAGTTATATTATGTTAGATGATTAGTGATTTCTTTTTTTTTTTTTTTTTTTTTTTAATATATTTTATTGATTTTTGTACAGAGAGGAAGGGAGAGAGACAGAGAGTTAGAAACATCGATGAGAGAGAGTCATCGATCAGTTGCCTCTTGCACACCCCCTACCGGGGATATGCCAGCAACCAAGGTACATGCCCTTGACCGGAATCGAACCCGGGTCCCTTCAGTCCCCAAGCCGACGCTCTATCCATTGAGCTAAACCGGTCCCGGCTTGAGCTAAACCGGTCCCGGCGATTTCTTAACTATTAAATGTCTTTAAAGATAATTGTAGACTGAAAAGGGTAGGAAATGGTGTGAAAAAAGGTCTGTATGGATAAATCCAAACCATAGTTTAAACAAAATTATTTAAAATGTGATGGCAAATGGATTTAATGTAAGTTTATTTACTTAAAATTGCAAGTAAGTTGTTAATAAAATATTTCAAGATAACATCTCAAAACTTATCAAAGAAGAGTTATCTATCTCTAGAAATTACTCCTAAAAGGAGCAATCTCTCTTAATCCCAAATGTCAGAGTATCAAGGATAATAAAATAATAGTCATTACATACTCCTATACAAATTTAAAATTTAAGCCATCATTTTGCAGAAGTATACCTTGAAAAATGTAGGCTCTTAAGCCAGCCACATATAAATCCTGGGTCTTATCTCAATAGTTCTGTGACTGTTTATTTTATTTCTTTATTTGAATATAACAGTCATGTTAATTCACTGTAGGGTTGATGTGAATATGAATCACATAATACATGTAAAGCACTTTGGTTCCAGGTACATAACAAATGCTTAAAATAAGTGTTGGAAAGTTTGAGGTAAGTTTCCTATAGCCAATGAAAATTTAATTGTTTACTTGTATCTTTTGCTAATTTGTTAAGGACAGGGTTGTACCCAAAGCTGCTTTCTTAGTGATGGAAGGTAAAAAACAAACAAACAAACAAACAAACAAAAAAACATCTGAATGTAGGCACATTTTAAAAAATATATATATTTTATTGATTTTTTACAGAGAGGAAGAGAGAGGGATAGAGAGTTAGAAACATCGATGAGAGAGAATCATCGATCAGCTGCCTCTTGCACACCCCCTACTGGGGATGTGCCCGCAACCAAGGTACATGCCCTTGACCGGAATCGAACCCGAGACCTTTCAGTCCACAGATCGACGCTCTTATCCATTGAGCCAAACCGGTTTCGTGAATGTAGGCATATTCTTGTTTTCCATTCCCTATCCTTCAGCTGTACAATGGTGAGGAAGTACAAACATAGATATAGGACATGTAATTATAGAGACTTCCTTTTATTATCGTGATCAGCTCTTGAGTTCTGAATTATTCAGTCATCTCTAAAATGAAAGTACTGTTTTGTTGTAAATAGAAATAATTATGAATGATTCATTACAAATTACTTTGTAGATGTCCATATTTCACGAATACATCAGTAATGAATAGCTGATTTAAAGACTCAAATGAAAAGTTTCTTTTGTGTATACCATTCTGTTAATTTATTAACTCTTTATTTTTACTCCATGTTCAGCATGCTTTATAATCCTTCCACACTGACAACCTAGATTCTTGCTCCTTTTGATTTGTAGAAGAAATGTATTCTTTAGGCTAGAAGGTCATGAAAAGTAATCTACCTATTAAAAGAGTAACATGCTAATTGACCCTACCTTCACGGCACCCACCAGCCAGTCAGAAGTGAGTATGTAAATGAATGCAACAAAGACGACAGGTTAATTTGCATACACTGTCGCCGAGTGGTCGGGGGCAGGGCTGGATGCTTTCGTCGTCACTATGGTGATGATGCAGGTGTTCTGTACCACTCCCAGCCTCTTGGGCCTCTGAGCAGAGTGGGAAGGCCAAAAGGCAGCTTAGGCCCCAGCGAAGGCAGTGCAGGCAGCCAGGGAAAGAAAGGCCCATTCTGGCATGAATCTTCATGCATCGAGCTTCTAGTAAATTAATAAGATTGAATTAAATCATGCAGATATGGCAGGAACAGGGAAACCTTTTTAACGGTTTATATGACTCTATGGTATGAGCCTTCAAAGCCAGTGTTACTCGCTTTAACTTAGTTCTTCTCTTTCATATCCTGATAACAAGTACATGTTCTTAATACAAAAAGAATGTCAATTAACAAAGTGCAAAATGTTAATGTAGACGTGTGTGTAAAATACCATGCATGTTATATCTCAATAGTTGGTAAATTGTACACTCTGTTTAAAGTTTTAACTTCAATTTTTAAGTCTGTTTATTAGTTAAAAAAAGCTTTAATATGTTAATTTTACTGATACTGTAAAAGTGATATTAGGGAAATTCTGTACAGATTTCTGCCAGGTTTACTACCAGGTTTACTAAGCCATCTGGTTAATCCATTATCAATTAATACACTATAGGCCATGCAGACTTCTTTGGCGTATTAGAGTTCTGATAATTTTAATAACTTTCAACTTTTCTTCCCCAGAATTTTTTTTTTTTTAAATTCAGTCTATGTAAGCAAGAAAATTGCAGAGTTGATAGGGGATAATCTGCCTTTAAGAAATTATGTTCTAGCATCTCAAAACAACCCTTCTCAGTAGGACAATTATTTCTACTTTACAGGCAGCAAAGCTGAGGTTTAGAGAGGCAAAATATCTTGCTTGAGGTCAGCCTGGTAATTAGGGTGCTGGGATACAAACCCATCCCTGAGTGGCTCCTGAGCACCGATACTCCAACCACCAAGTGACCCACCTCAACACAGCAGGGAGAACAAGGCTACTCTACAGGCAGAACTTCTTTTCTGTTTTACTTGTGTATTCTTTTTTTGCTAATTGCATAATGTTTTCATTATTGAGAATTTAATGCATTTCAGAATTTGGTACTCTTCTTTGTCTGAGTTTTCCTGGTCATTCTTATTTATTTTGTTACCAGAGGCCTGATGCACAAATTCGTGCATGTGTGGGATTTCTCGGCCTGGTTGGCAATTGGGGTCGGCCAGCTAGGGGTGGGGGTGGGGGGGGGGCTGCATGAGGTTGGCTGTAGGACTGCACTGACCACCAGGAGGCAGCTCCTGCATTGAGCTTCTGTCCCCTGGTCCTCATAGTCGTTGTTTCTCTCTCATTGGCGTTTCTAGCTCTCTATCCCTCTTCCTTCCTCTCTGTATCTATATATATATGATATATATATATATACTAGCCGATCATCTGGTTCTAATGGTCACTTAGGCTTTTATATATATAGATTTTATTTTTCAAGTAATTTTGTCTGGGTATCATAGTTACTAGCCGATCATCTGGTTCTAATGGTCACTTAGGCTTTTATATATATAGATTTTATTTTTCAAGTAATTTTGTCTGGGTTAAACATTTATTAAAATTTAATTTAGATTCCATCAAATATATAAAGTGGGCAGAATTTATATATTTGATGGTATTGTTTTTGTAGGAAGATGTATTTTTCTTTGTTCAGTTTACTTTTGTGTTCTTTGATAATTAAAATGTTACTTGTGCCGAAACCGGTTTGGCTCAGTGGATAGAGCCTTAGCCTGCTGACTGAAGGGTCCCGGGTTCGATTCCAGTCAAGGGCATGTACCTTGGTTGCAGGCACATCCCCAGTAGGGGATGTGCAAGAGGCAGCTAGTCGATGTTTCTCTCTCATTGGCGTTTCTAGCTCTCTATCCCTCTTCCTTCCTCTCTGTAAAAAATCAATAAAATGTATTTTAAAAATAAATTAAAAAAATAAAATGTTACTTGTAGTTTTGACACATTTATAGTTATATTATTTCTAGGTGCTTTGTATATTTTATTATAAATTAATTCATTTAAAAAAATTTTTCCTATATAGCCAAGCAAAAATTTTACTAACTAGAAGTAAATTTATTTTTAAGTAAACCTTCCAATTTTGTGAGAGAAATATAAAGGTGGATGGAATTGAGGCTTAATACCCTATGATGGCAATTGGAAAGTATCAGAGTTAAAGTTGGGATTTGGGTTTATCTGACTCTGAACTAATTGCATGTTTTTAATGAAGCTTGAATAAAGCACAACTTTAGCTCTTCATGCCCTTTTTAGATTCTTGTTCTTGTGTCATTCCCAGATTTATTGGAATGAAATGTTCAGCCTGATCTTCATATGAGCAGAATAGCCCCTTAGTCTGATCTTTTATTAATTTTCTTTCTTGAATTATTGTCCAAGAAAGAAGAGTACATTGTATCCTGTTCCTTTCGAGGTTTAAATTCAGATTCATAAGACTTTATAGACTTCAGTTGCTTTTATTGTAATTTAAACTACATAGTACTATATTGTCCCAGTAGCTATTTGACAGCTATCTTAAAAGAACCATTGATTTTGTGGGTTTTTAGTCAGTACGTATTTGGGGGTAGAGGAGGGAGAAGAGGTCTAAATTATCTTTCAGGTTTTGGGCTTTTTCTGACTTTTGCAGCTTGGGAAATGAAAGATAGATGTCTGCAGCCTAAAAACCCAGAGTATCTTTAAAATATCTCAAGGTGATGGAGAATGTCCGAAAATGCATTTTCTTAAACTGTCTAGAATTACAGTTACTGTAGCCCCAAAGTATGGCATGAGATGTTTCTGCCTCCCAGTGGTGTTATGCAAGAGACCCAGCATCCCACGTGATGGATGTGTGCTGCCACAGGAAGACAGCACTTCTCACTAGTGCCTTTGAAGTGTTCATTAGTAGTGTGTACATCTAGAATTTAATTACCTTTATGAACTCTAATTTTTTAAAGTAAAACTTAGGATCTGAGACACCTTGCGGTCAGAAGTTCATTCTAGACAGCTTTTAAGCTCCTCTTCTTCCCTTCTCCCATGGATGAGAAGTTAATGTGAAATGCAGTACTAATAGGGGAAACGGGGGAAATTATCTCTAGACTGCCCAGGTTCTGAAAAGGAATGTGGGAGAAAATTTTTGAGTTTTTTTGCTCTGTGGATTTCAGGCATACTAATAAAAACAACAACAAAACTAGATACAGCAAATTTTTCATATTCATACTATCTTTTAAGAATTTGGTGCTTTCACGTATCTTTAGTTCTTATAGAAATTTCTTAAAACTTTTAAGATGGTATGCTACATTAGAATGATTTCTAAATCTACTTCCTTGTCCTTTGGTGTGATAAAAGATAAATAATTTCTGTAAAAGTGAATATATAAGTATTTCAAATAACTTGAAAATCTTAACTGTAGATATCTCTGATTTAATTGGAATTTCTATATTTAAAATATGAGTTGACAATTGTGTTTAGATAAGTTTTTTTAAAAACTGGATTATAAAATGAAGCACTGTTAGTAAGGCTAATGACATAGGTATTAGATCTTTTGTTGTGAGTAGAGGAAATTGAAAAAGACATTATAGATATGATTTCATTAAGCTAGAGAGCATTGGTGTTCACATTTTAAAAACATAATCATAACTTATCTGGAGTCACATGTTCCATTTTATTGGCTTCCTTCATATAGAAAATATAGAAACCTGTATTAAATGCCTGTGAAAACATGAAGCAATGTATATTTTCTCAGTGAAGGAAGTATTCTGTACATTTTTCATGTTTTACATCATGGTATTTTGAATAACCATGCTTCCATGTTCACATCAATTTTTTGTTTTTCAATTTATGCACAGCACTTGCTCTGAAATTTGGGGACTGAGTACACCAAATACGATAGATCAGTGGGATACAACAGGCCTTTACAGCTTCTCTGAACAAACCAGGTGAATATTCTGCCCTCTGTCAAATCCTAGCAATCTTGTGGGCGGGGGGGTATTTGTAAGACCTATTAAGTGGGTTGCTTAATATAATTTTGCCTAGGATGTTACCTTAATATAAAATAAGGCATAGCATTTAAAATACCTGCTTGCCGATATTAAAAGTATTATTAAATGTTTCAGCTGAAGTTTTGATCAATGAAATTCTAATTTTGAATCTTTAAATTATTGAATCCCCTAAAGAATAGGAATTTTGATATAACTATATTCTCATTTCAGTTTGAGATCTGTTGTTGGCCTAATTTTTAAATAGATACATAACCAGGTTTGCTACATTTCTTGTATACTAATCTCATCTGTATACTAATAAATAAACTTTGATTACTGAACACAACACAAGGCTAACTTGTTTTTTTTATGTTATCTTTATTTAAATCACCTCATTCTCTTTTTAAACTTATTGATATTTGTTCATTTCATCTCATCATACTCATCATCATCTGCATTTATGTGTGAGCTATAAAAATAATACCTCAACACACTCACAATTGGGTAATGAGTTACATTAGTTTGAGTAAGTTTTATATCATTGTTGGTATTTACCATTCTTCATAGTAGTTCCTTTTTTGATAATTCAGTCACCTACAGAATTAATGCCCCTAAAAGAATCTCTAAATAAGTTTGATTTATTAAAGATAAAAGTTGACAAAGTTTTTCAAATGTAACTATATAATACTATTAAAAATCTAGTTTTCCCAAATGGTTATCCATTCACTTACACTTAACTCATTTGTGTAAACATGTTTTAAGAAACATCTGCTAGAGCTGCTGCTTTCTTTTATATCAGATCCATAAAATAGTACATTTTTCTTCCTTGTATTCACTAAAACTAACTGAATGTCTGTCATTTTTTTTCTTTATGCTTTTATTGTACTAATTTGGTCCAATTGAGTATTTCTGTTTTCTTAAGCTCCCACCTTTCTTTTCCCCTTGCTTCCCAATAGGTCTCTTGATGGTCGTCTTCAGGTATCTCATAGGAAAGGACTGCCACATGTTATATATTGCCGATTATGGCGCTGGCCGGATCTTCATAGTCATCATGAACTCAAAGCAATTGAAAACTGCGAATATGCTTTTAATCTTAAAAAGGATGAAGTATGTGTAAACCCTTACCACTACCAGAGAGTTGAGACACCAGGTAGGAAAAGTAGATTTTTTTAAAATAAATTAAATGTGTAAGAATGACAATAAATAAATAAATAAATTAATTAATTAAATGCTTGAAGTTAAGTATATTAGGTGTTCATTATTTCTAGTTGACTCAGGAAAATTTTGGTGTAAAATTCTAAATTACTTTAAATTCAATATATTATTTGGTGGTCATTAAAAATACAATTAAAAGAATATTTTATCGAAAATATAACTTAGTGGTAAAGATAGTTTCTTGGAATAGCATATTAGTTCACATCAAAGTACATATATAGGAAATTCCAGTCTGCTTAGAAATAAGCTGATGAATCTGTTTCCCTGTCTGGTGCATTAACTGTTTTCAGTCATTTTGCTCTCTGAGTTTTTTTTTTGTTTTGTTTTTTTGTTTTGTTTTTTGTTTTGTTTTGTTTTTTAAGTATTTTAATTCCTATCTAAGCAATTTAGTAAAACTCATAGAAAGACTTTACCTTTACTTAGCTGTGTACTTGAAACATTTTAAGACTATAGCTGCATTTTTAGAAAATACCCTAAATTTGATTTTACAAATCTTTTTGCAACCTTTCTAATGGGGATTTTTGAACTTTCATGGTAATAAATATTACCAGTATCACCTTGTACCAAAAAGTACAAGATAAATTGGATCTTGGAAATTATTGTGAACCACTTGGTAAGTTAAAATCATAATCAGATTTGTCAATTTAATAACTTGTATAATACCAAATGGGTAGACCCTAAATTTTAAAAATTAAGCAGGCTACTTCTTTTTTGTGTGAAAACTTAATAAAGGTCCTGTTTCCTACCCCTTGCTCCTTGCCATTAACTTGGATCGTTTTTACTTTTTAGTTTTGCCTCCTGTGTTAGTACCACGGCACACTGAGATCCTAACAGAACTACCGCCTCTGGATGATTATACCCACTCCATTCCAGAAAACACTAATTTCCCAGCGGGAATTGAACCACAGAGTAATTACATTCCAGGTATTTTGCTTTCTGAGTCTTCTAAAAATTGGGATAGATACAAATTTTGTTTATAAACATTCAAGTTTTAGTAAACTGTGGTTTAACTTTTTAAAAAATTCCTTTGGATTTTAAATAGAAAAATATGGTCTGTTGGGTGATTATTTTTGTGAAATGTATAAACCTCTAGTACATTAAACATTTTTGTGTGGAGAAAAGTTTTACTTTATATTTCATTTTCTTTTGCAGTGGCTTTAATCAAAGTACTCTGAGAAGCAGAAAAGAAAAGATCTTAGTAAGTTTATCTTAGTAGTTATTGAAGCTAAGAGAGATATAGAATGTAAGCAAAATAAATGATACAGGAAAAAATATTCCTGAAACAAATGTAATTAAAAATTAACCAAATAATTACTTTCATAGATAATGTTTAAGAGAGATACAACATTTCTGTGGGAGATACATTATTTTAGTTCTATAGACAGCACACCTATGTTGTACTGAAAATCAGAACACTTCTATTTTAGTTCTTTTTAATCTGGACCTCAGTAACTTCTGCTTTAATTATTGTATTATGAGATCTAACAACATATTCCATGATACGGTAGCTACCTACCCTTTACTTTTCACTGTTTTTTAGGAGAAAAACTAACATTTTCTTACTTTCTGCCCTTCCCCCTTTTAGCAGAAACTAAAGGTATACTAGGATGAAAATTAAGCTAGACATTGGATTTTTTGGTGTTAATCTTTTTCTCTTTTTGCAATATTCCTCTATCCCATTCTTATTTTTATACAACTGAAAATATGTAAGGAATTTAGAGTTTTAAGCCCATAAAACATTTTTTTAATGTGTCTCATCATGAAGATAATGCCTTTTCATTGAAGACAATTTTTAAAATATAGTATTTTTCCAAAAAGTTAATTTTCAAGTTAGAAAGTATCTTCTGATTGTTTAAAGGTGCATTTCTTTGATTACTATTTTATTCCAAAAGAGGAGTTTAAGACTGCTCTTTGGTTGCTAGGAAACAAACTTTTTAAGTTAGGAAGTAGTGTGATAGAGTGGAATGCAGTATGAGGCCTAGGATAAGGGGGAAAGTAGGGCTAAAATGGCATTTTCTAGAAAGAATTTAGAAACTAGAGTTAAGTGTGTGGCATGAGGAGAGGGGGAGCCATTTTAAGTCTTTGAAGTGGGACTTAGCAAAATTAGGAAACTGAGGTACCAGTAAGCATACAGTCATACAAGACCATGTACCCAATCATTATTTGGAAGGATGTTATTTAAAATGTTTAGTGACTTTTGTGGAGATGTTTGGACTTGTGTTTTCTTTATTTGTTTAGATATGGGTATTTTACAAAGTGGTACATCAAATGTACCTATTGGTGTTTTTTTAGACAGTGCAGTTTACCCAGCTCTGATTGATAGCAAAACCTAATGTTTACTTTTTATTCCACTTCTAAAGAAATTTTAATATTTTCTCCAAAATGCTAATGACTATTATTATTTTACAAAAAAAAAAATGGAGAAAAGTAAACTAGGATAAAGTATTTCTACTTAGAATTTGAAACATAGGCAGTTAGACTGGCAAAGCTTAGCTCTGTTTAATTTTGTCACTTTTAATCTTTGAAATCGTGCATAATCCTACCTTATAAAAGAGTAATATGCAAATTAACCATCCCTCTGCTCAAGCCACACCCACCAACCAATCAGAGCGAGTATGCATATTAACCCCAACCAAGATGGCTGCAGCCACAGAGGGCAGTTGAGAGGCTTGAGTTTCAATAGAGGAAGCCAAGCTTTCCACACACCCTGGCGGGTCTAGGCCTCCCACTCAAGGATATAAAATTTCAATTATAGAAGATAAATCCCAAGAAAAATGGCAACAGCCATGGAGCTGGAGAGAGCAGGATAGGGTTTCTCCCAGCAACTGAGGAAGCAAAGCTTTCCACCTGCCCTGGCTGGCCTAGGACTCCACTCAAGGCTACAAAGTTTCATTTATACAAGATACATAAAACCAAACAAATGGTGTGAGTGAGCAGGGGGCTTGGCTCTACTCCAGGCTGCAAAGTTTCAATTGTAGAAGGTAAATAAATTCCAGATACCAGGGCCTCTGCTTGGGTTGCCAGGGGCCGTGGCCAGCCTGCAAATCACCACAGGCTCCTTGCCCAGGCCACCCCACAGCCCAAGGGAGCCCCCACCCTGATCCAGGTCACCCTTCAGGGCAAACCAATTGGCCCCCACCTGTGCACCAGGCCTCTATCCTATCTAGTAAAAGAGTAATATGCAGATTGGCCATCACTCCAACACACAAGATGGTTGCTCCCATATGGTCAAAGACCCTGCCTCCATGTGGACACAGGATGGCCAGCAGGGGAGGGCAGTTGTTTGGCACCAAGCCTGCAAGAGAAGGCAGTTGAAGGCGATCAACCCTGTAGGGGAGGGCACTCAGGAGTGGCCAGGCCAGCAGAGGAGGTAAGTTGGGGGCAAATGGGCTGGCAGGGGAGCAGTTAGACATCAGTCAGGCTGGCATGGTTGTAGTGAGAGGGTGATCAGGCTGGAAGGCAGGCAGGCGAGCAGTTGGGAGCTAGCAGTCCTGGATTGTGAGAGAGATGTCCGACTGCCCATTTAAACCTAACTAGGCAGTTTAACATCTCTCTAGGGTAGGGGTGTCGAACTCAATCAGAGAAGGGGCCAAAATCTAAAATCCAGCCTAAATCGCGGGCCGAATGGTTTACTGAACAGTCATAAACTGTCATTGTGATGGAAACGCAGCGGAGTGCAGTGATGACAGCGCGGTGCGGGCCACATTGCAAGGCCTGGCGGGACGGATTTGGCCCGCGGGCCTTGTGTTTGACACATGTGCTCTAGGGGTTCCAGATTGGAGAGGGTGCAGGCTGGGCTAAGGGTCACCCCCACCCCACCCCGTGCACAAATTTCTTACACCAGGCCTCTAGTGGTTATGTATTACTCTCTCATGTTCTTTGTTGTTTGAACATATGAAGGTATTTTATTCTTAGAATTTCAGTATTAAATATTTTGGGGTATCAAACTTAAGAGTTTGATATTAAGAAGTTAAAATTTATAGTTAGCTTATTGAAGGGAGATTGAAAAGGTTAATGAAGAGCCCTAGCCGGTTTGGCTCAGTGGATAGAGAGTCAGCCTGTGAACTGAAGGGTCCCAGGTTCGATTCCATTCAAGGGCATATACCTTGGTTGCGGGCACATCCCCAGTAGGGGGTGTGCAGGAGGCAGCCAATCAATGATTCTCTCTCATCATTGATGATTCTATCTCTCCCTCTCCCTCTCTGAAATAATACAAATATATATTTTTAAAAAAATTAATGAAGAAAACCATTAGCCCTCTTTCTCTTCCTTGTGTAATTACAGAATTCTTTTTGAGTATGTATCTGCATTATTTGAATTGCTTAAAATTTCTAGCAATGTATATATTAAACCATTGATAATCATTTAAACTTTTCATTCGAAATTATAATTGGTAAAATGGTATAAATGTTTTTATTTTACATGAAGCCCATTCAGGTATTCATACGCCTCCTGAGTAAACATATTGGAAACAGCACACTGGAATCTTATTTTCAGGGGGAATTTTGCCTCCATTTTGTGCAGTAATCTGTATTTGAATTTAATTTTCTGCTTTAATATTTAGGAATTACTGCTTAGAAATCTTTGGAGAAATACACTTTTTGGTAGAATTCAAGCTAGTCCAGTCCTGAAGTATATTACCATATTTTGCCCTATAAAACTTAGTGGAAGATGTAACTCTGTATTACTCTGTAATTTTAAATTGTGTGTGTGTGTGTGTGTGTGTGTGTGTGTGTGTGTGTGTGGTGAGGCCAAGAGGGAAGCGGGGGGTGGGAGAGTTCCTTTAATCATTTAGATACTCATCCATGGTGGCGATTAGTTAAAAAAAAAAAAAAAAAGCAAAACACATTGTAGGTACTAATATCTTTGAAGTATACTGATCCAGAACTGAGGTATCTTTGAAGTTATATTTTTGGCTCTTGCCCCAGAAAATATACATAGGAGAATGAGCCAGATATGTAAATAATAGTTAAGAAAATATGCCCAAGCAGCTCGATTGTATTTCAAGTAGGCTTTAAAGGTTTGCCTACAAGGTTTGGACCAGAGCCTGAATCCTAAGCTCTTAGTATCCAATATTGCTTTTTATAATGATGTTATATAACATTTATGTTTGTTAATCAGAGCAATTTGTTGGGTTATCTTTGGTAGCTAGGAAAAAAGGTGAGATTAAATTGTAACTCTACTTGATTTGTTCTAAATTTCTGTAGAAACACCACCTCCTGGATATATCAGTGAAGATGGAGAAACAAGTGATCAACAGTTGAACCAAAGTATGGATACAGGTAAAAAAATACATTTATCTTTCAAAATTCTTTAGCAGTTAGATAACCATTTTTGCCTCATTTGAAACTCACATGAGTTTTTCATAACTCTTAAAGTTAGAGAAGTTGGGACACAAAAAACAAAACAGAACAAAACAAAAAAACGTTTATCTTGATTTAATTATATTTGAGCTATCACAGGGTCCTGTTGTCCATGAAAAATTAACATATGCTGCTCAGCAGAAAAATTGGTAAATTTTTTTCTTGTTAGAGTAAATAAGAATTTGAGAACAGTCATTTATTTCTCTTTGTAAATATTCTGTGTTTCTGTTGAAAGTTTTAGTTACCCTGTGATTATATGTCTTTGTGATGAAAGCTCATAATTAGCCCAATTACAGATTTTCAGAAGAATTTGAAGGGATGGGACTCCTCTTTTCAGTGCTCTTTTAACATAAGAGTGAGTTCTCAATTATAGTAGACTGTTTTTGTTACAAGATACAAAAAGTTTCTTGTACCTCACTTAATGAAATTACTTTCTAATTAACTTAGCTATCAACTCCAAACACAATGGAGAAAAAGTTTCAATATGTAATAAATATTACATACCTCAAAGCTTTAAAACAGTTATGTAATAATGTATAATCCACCAGAACTAATAGGTTGCCAGTGAAATAGATGTCATTGTAATTGTCCATTTTTATCCATTTCAACTTGTCAGTATCTTAAGGATTGGACACATTAAAATTACCACCTGACAAATTTCTACAGTTTATAGTAAAGCATTATGCAGTTATGATAATCTAAGTTGTTTTTAAATGAATTAACATTGGCAGTGGGGGGAAGTTGGGGTGGGCAGGCTTTTACAATAATTCTGTTGTTTAAATCCTTCCATTATTTAGACTTTCATGTAAGAAAGCTTCTACTATAGTTAATCATACTTACAGGTGTTCATAGTAGTAGATAGCCAAGAAAGATAGATAATCTAATGATTATTGGAAATAACGTTATATATTTTAATGTAAATGTCTTTCTGGAAATGATATTTGGCTTTCCAAATGTATCTTTCTAACACACCTATATATCGAAAAATTGTGTTCCTGAATCAACCTTGTTCCTATTTGTGCCCCATGATGGTCAACTGCTGCTCTACATTTAAAAGTGAATGCCATGATAGCCAGCAGGGAAATGCAAATCAAATCCAGTGTCATACCACTTCAAAGGCTAAGCAACCTGCCAACTGGCCGGTAGCTATGAGCTATGGTGACTTGGCAGCTGTGGTTCTTGGGTGATGCATCTGGAACCAGAGAGGAGAGAGCCCAATTCCGGGGTATGCCACCCTGTCGCAATCCAGGACCACTCAGGGGATGTTGGAGAGCTGTTTTTGGCCCAATACCTGCAGGCCAGGCTGAGGGATCCCACCTATGCACGAATCTGTGCACTGGGCCTCTAGTGGTCATAATAAAAAGAGAAGGATAACAACAAGTGTTGATGGGGATATGAAGAAGTTGGAGTCTTCATATGGTTCTGGTGGAAATATAAAATGGTTCAGTTGCTTTGGAAAAATTCGCTCTTCCTCAAAAAATAAATTATAGAATAACTAGAGGCCCAGTGCATGAAATTCATGTATGGGGTTGTGTATCGCTCAGCCCAGCCTGCACCCTCTCCAATCTGGGACCCCTTGAGAGATGTCTAACTGCCTGTTTAGGCCCTATTCGATCAGGCCTAAACAGGCAGTCAGACATCCCTCTCAGTATCCAGGACTGCTGGCTCCCATCCACTCGCCTATCTAACTGCCTGATTGCCTCTAATCACTTCTGCCTGCCAACCTGATCACCCCCTAACTACTCTTCTGCCAGCCTGATCAACACCTAACTGCTCCCCTGCCAGCCTGGTCATCCCTAACTGTCCTTGCCTACAAGCCTGGTTGTCCCTAACTCTCCTCCCCTGCTGTTCTGGTAACCCCTAACTGCCCTCTCTTGCCAGCCTGGTCGCCCCTAACTGCCTTCCCCTGCTGGTCTGGTTGCCCCCAACTGGCCTCCCCTGCAGGCCTGGTTGCCCCTAACTGCCCGCTCCTGCTGACCTGGTTCCCCCCAACTGCCCTCCCCTGTAGCCTGGTTCTCCCCAACTTCCCTCCCCTGCAGGCCTGGTTGCCCCTAACTGCCCGTTCCTGCTGGCCTGGTTCCCCCCAACTTCCCTTCCCTGCTGGGTTGGTCCCTCCCCAACTTCCCTTCTCTTCAGGCCTGGTCCCCCCCAAATATCCTCCCTTGCAGGCCTAGTCCCTCCCAACTGCCCTTCCCTGCTAGCTTGATCACCCACCACTACCCTTTCCTGCCAGCCATCTTGTGGTGGCCATCTTGTGTCCACATGAGGGCATTTGCCTTGGACCATATAGGGGCAGCCATCTTGTATGTTGGGGTGATGGTCAATTTGCATATTACTCTTTTATTAGATAGGACAATATAACCAGCAAGCTCCTAGATATATACCCAAGAAAATTAAAAAATAATTTTGTGCACATCCATGGTATACTTGTAACCAAGTATTCATGTAAAAGTGGAAGCAACCCAATTATCCATCAAATAATGAATGGATAAATTAAATCCATACATTGGAATATTGGTCAACCATATAAAGGAATGAAGTACTGATCCATGGTACAACATGGATGAATCTTGAAAGCATTAATTGAAAGAAGCCAGACACAAAAGGTCACAAGGATTCCAACGGGAGTAAGAAATGCGTATTTTATAATATAGAAGAAATGTTACATGAAAAATAAGATGAATATACACTAGTCATTCCAAATCTGCAAGGAATATGTTGCAAGACCCCCAATGCATGCCTGAAATAGTGGATGATATAGAGCTCTATATATAATACTTGCGGCCCAGTGCACAAAAATCGGTTCCTCAACCTGGCCCACACCCTCTTGCAGACCAGAAGCCCTCGGGATGTCTGACTGCTGGCTTAGGCCCGCTCCATAACATCTTTAGCACTGCTGCGGTTGTGGCCACTGCCACTGCTTCTGAGCACTGAGCTGAGCCTGGCTTCTGGCTGAGCGGTGCTCCCCCTGTGGGAGTGCACTAACCACCAGAGGGCAGCTTCTTCAATGATCATCTGCCCCCTGGTGGTCAGTGGTGCATGTCATAGTAATCTTTGATTCCGCCATTCAGTCGATTTGCATATTACCCTTTTATTATATAGCAGTGGTTCTCAACCTTCCTAATGCCGTAACACTTTAATACAGTTCCTCATGTTGTGGTCACCCCCCAAACATAAAATTATTTTTGTTGCTACTTCATAACTAATTTTTAATGAATCCTAATGTAAATAGTATCTATGTTTTCCGATGGTCTTAGGCTCTATAATTGCAGTTCTCAACCTGTGGGTTGCCTAAAACCATCAGAAAACCACTAGCAGGGTTGCCTAAAACTTAATGTACTGCACGCATTTCTACTCTTCATTCCTTTGCATAGACATTTGTCTAGTTGTGTTGGTACCATTCATTGGAGATTCTTTTCCTGTTGATTTACCTTGGGTTCTTGAGTGAAAATCAAGTGATAATATATATGTGGGTCTAACTTATGGTCTGCTGTTAAATCAAGATAGTGAATTCATTTTCAATCATCTTATTTTCCAGTTTTACAATTTTCATTTAAACTTTTATTTTTGTTAATCTTCACCTGAGAATATTTACTCCATTGATTTTTAGAAAGTGGAAGGGAGGGGGGGAGACAGAGAGAAATATTGATTGGTTGCCTCCCACACAAGCTCCAGCCAGGGTCAGGATGGAGCCCTCAACCCTTCAGTGTGCAGGTCAGTGATCTATCCAATAAGCCACACTGGTGAGGGATTCATTTAAACTCTTAATCGGATAGTTTCATTATCTGGTTTATATGTAGGTCTGCTTCTGGATCAGTTTTTTTCTACTTTGCATTATTATGTTGTTGTTTTTGATTGGATGGTGGGTATTGTGAATAAGGTAATACTAGAGAGTAACATAGAACTGGCATGCAATGATACATGCACAAGCATTTCTGTAGACGTTTTAGCTAAAAGTAACAGAACCTATTATAAGTGACATCAGAGGAATGGCGGCATGAGAGATTCCATTAGCCTCTCCCCCTGAAACTTTAACAAGTTAATCAACTATAACTCAACAAAGGATTCCAAAAAATAAAAAATAAAATAAAAGTAACAGAGTCCGGTGATGCAAACCAGTGAAATTGGATATTTTTTATTTCTCATAATAGGAAGTTCCAGACCTTAGTAACAATGTGTATATATGAATAACTAGTAGGTTAATTGTTAATTAACCTGTGTTTGTAAAAATGTTTAAAAAAACTTGTTAGCTAATAAATTGTTACTTTAATTTAACTTTTAAAAGCTTTATGTGTGTGTGTGTGTGTGTGTGTGTGTGTGTGTGTGTGTGTGTGTGTATGATTATAATGAACCTTTATTTTTGTAATTCCTAAATTCTTTTATCACATCTGACTGAACTATTAGTTTAAATTAATGAACTGTAAACTAACTACTGGTCATTTCTGATAAGTATTTAAAAAGTTAAAAATTGGGCAGTTTCCTCCATGTCTGATAGTGGCTTTGTTTATTTTATAACAGCTTCAGGAAACAGCAGTGAGTTTTACTTTATTGTTCTAAATATATTTTGACCTTTCTTAGTTGTACCTGTTGGTACATGCCAACAGATTTTTCAAAATGAGGAACAAAAAAAGAACCTAAGAACTTAATTTTGTTATGGAAGACTGTTTGCTTCTAAAAATTAATTATCATCTGTTCTCTACTTTTTATTCATCTGTTTTATTGGGGTTATCCTTTCTCTTGTGGTGCCTGGAATTTTGTGTTATGGTTATAATAGTGTGGGGAGGGGAGGTACACAAGGAGGTCTGACCTGTCTTATGTTATATACATAGATGCCATTGCTATATATGTGAAGCTTGGGAGCTGTAGGTCATGTTTTTTTAATACAACTTTCCCAAAAGATATAGAAAAGAATGATCAAAAGACAAAATTTATAATTATTGTAACTATTTAACAAGTGTTATTTAAATTAGTTGCATGGTATTGAGTGGTCTTGTTTTTTGTTTTGTTTTGTTATTTTGCTTTTTTTCTTCTGTGTCTATAGTTCTACCTTCTTTTTTTTATTTTGTAATCTGTGCCCTCTCCCCATATGTGCTTGATTAGAGTTAGCTTGCTTACCTAAAACTGGAAGACATGAGTAATTTTCTAAGAAAATATAATACCAAACTTACTCCAAAAAATAGAGCTATCAACCGTCATAGAAGAAATAGAGAAATGTCTTAGAATAAACCCTAGATAATGTTTAACTGCAAACAATTTGACAGTGGATCTCTATGAAACTATTAAGGAATGTTATTAAAATGTTCTTTAAACTGTTCAGAGCATAAGAAAGGCATACAGCTTCTAGATTATAATTATGAAGTAGCATAACATTGTACTCACAGTATAAATCTGCAGACCAGTATTGCTTGGGAGTATTTATGCAAAAATCCTAAATATGCATTGTTATCTCTCATCATCAAAGCCAGCATTATGCTTAATGGGAAAAATACTAGAAGTATTCTCTTAAAGTTAAGAGTAAAACAAGAATATCCATTGTCACCACTATTTTACCGAAGTGTGATACATCTCAAAGTGCCTGATAAATTATATCATGTAAAAGTTTTTTTTAAGTACTGCTTAATCAGAATTAGGATGAAGAGTCATAAAACAAATATTTGTAACTCATAGGGCTAAGATGCCTAATACATAAAGAGCCATTTATAGATCTATAAGAAAAGTGATTAGAACCATAATAGAGAAAAGAACAAAGGAAAAGAACAGACCATTCACAGAAAGGAAATCTATACTAATAATGGAGATACATATATGCAAATTGTCTGGGATGTCATCATGTAATGGCCAATCAGGATAGGGGCGGGGCCATGGTGGAGAGCTCTCAGCCTTCCTGCGCCACAGGTCCGAAGGGCATGGTGAAGAAGGGAGAGAGCAGATAGGCAGTTAGGGGGATCAGGCCAGGAGGGGAAAGCGGTTAGGCAGTTAGGGCCATCAGGCTGACAGGTGAGTGGTTAGCCAGTGGTTCCTGATTGCAAGAGGGATCCCGGATTGGAGAGGGTGCAGGCCAGGCTGATGGACCCACCTGTGCATGAATTTCATGCACCAGATCTAGTTTGTATATAAAAAACAGGGAGCACAGAACAATATATTTGCTTATTTGGTTCATTTGATTATTTCTGGGAAAATACACTGGATGCCTTTGGGAAGGGAAACTCTGTGACTAAAAGCCAGGACTGTTTTACACCTTTTTTACCTTTTATATATTGAAGCCTCCAAAATTACACTCATATAAAGCAGCTGTATACTTTTTAAATTTATATTTATTGATTTTCAGAGAAAGAAACATTGATTTGTTGTTCCACTTATTTATGAATTCATAGGTTGATTCCTGTATGTATCCTGACCAGAGATCAAACCAATAAGCTTAGCCTATCAGGACAATACTTTTAACCAGCCTAGCTACCTGACTAGGACCAAGTGGCTGTATATTTATAATGCTTGCGATGTAAATTATGTATTATTTGTGACGCTTAATTATAACCTGTATTATTACTTGGTCAGAAGTTCTGGAAATACTTTCATATCTGTTTTTAAATTAATTTCTTTTATTTCAGGATCCCCAGCAGAACTATCTCCTACTACTCTTTCCCCTGTTAATCATAGTTTGGGTAAGTTGAAAATGTTTTCCTTCCACTATTTTATACTGCATCACTTACTTAAATGTTTTCTCTGGTCATTATTTTATATATGAGAAAGGGAACCCAATAAATAATCGAGTAATTATTCAAATTAATGCTTTTTAAAAATGATACTGGTAATGTGCCTCAATATTATTAAATCGCTTTTCTACTCGCACATGTAAGAAATTAATTATCTGTTTATTCATGGAAACAATATTTTTAGTCACAGTAAATTTTATGACATGATTAGATATTTGTGGGAATGTTATTTTATGATATGTACTGTAATAGCAATTATTAATATAAGAGGTAAATATATGTACACATAAAACAAATACGTGGTTTGGGGGCTATGTGTATGTGAGAGCTAATGTGTATATGTGTGTGCGCGCACATGTGTGTACGTGTGTGCATATAAATATTCTGTAGTTTATTTTTGGACTTTATTTTATCTTGCTATTTCACAATTTCTCTTCATTTGATACATTTGAAATTTATTCTACAAAAATGGTCATTTTTAAAATGATACTCCTTGTGATGGTTTTTAATCAAAATTATAGAACTTAAATTCATGTGATCCTAGTTTTCCCATGCAATATATAGATTCTTTTGATTCCATGTTCTGTTTCTACTAGCACATTCTTTGTATTTATTAACTTTTTGGTTTTTTTTTTTGTATGTGTAGGAGGGTGCTTTATATTGTAATTAGGGTATCAAAATATCAAAAGTATGTCATTTTGTGTTGTATTATTTTGACATTTTCCTTCTTGTGGCCATAGATTATTCATTCTTGCTCCAGCTTTATTCCACTTAATTCTACCAAAAATTGGCTTTATTATGCAAATGTTTTATTTATTTATCTAGGATGGTTTTATATTGAACAGGAACTAATGTAAAACTACTAGGACAGTGATCAGCAAACTGTGGTTTGCCACTCTGTTGACTAATGAGTTTGCCAACCACTGTATAAGGCATTACCCTTACCCAGAAGTTTTGACTTCAGGTTAAAGACATTAGTACATTATTAAAATGTTTTTTAAGTGTTTTTCCCTAAGGCAATGGTTGGCAAACTCATTAGTCAACAGAGCGGCAAACTGCTGCTCACGAACCGCATGTGGCTCGCAAGCTGCAGTTTGCTGACCACTGTACTAGGAGAACAGATGATGCCTCAGTATCTAAAAAAAGAGGTTTGAAGATTGGATGACTTAATGAGATGGGGGAAATTGAAAATCTGGTTTGTTCTGTAGAGTCTGGAGTTTGTGACGTAGAAGTTAGGTCTACTTCCTAAGCTGTTGCCAGAATAGGCTGGCATAGAGCATGTAAAGGTGATAATATTCAATATATTCTTGGCTTGAATTGTTCACACAACATTTCTTACTCTTATGGGTTTGGTTTCCTCCGCCCTAGACTTGCAGCCAGTTACATACTCAGAGCCTGCGTTTTGGTGTTCAATAGCCTATTATGAATTAAACCAGAGGGTTGGAGAAACCTTCCATGCATCACAGCCCTCACTCACTGTAGACGGCTTCACAGATCCATCAAATTCAGAGAGATTCTGCTTAGGCCTACTCTCCAACGTCAATCGAAATGCTACAGTTGAAATGACACGAAGACATATAGGTATGTTTTTGTTTTTCCCCCCCCTATGTGAAAAACCAATATCATATACTCATAATGTGAGCATTATGTGGTTTACCACATCAAACGATTGTGTGCAAAAAAGCCTGCCTTGTCTCTGTCAGTTTAAGTGCACAGCTTCACTGCTTTTAATAGATCCTGGTGATCCTGCCATCTGCAAACTCTTTGACTTCTCTTTATTTGGCATATTTGATACTGGGAAGTCCTTCAGTGAACAAGTGTTAAAATAACTTTACTTTGCTGAGTCTCTACCAATCATAAAATTATCATGTTCATATTTTTTTAACAAATGATGAATTTTTTTTTCAGTTCATTTACATTTCCTAGTTTCTCCCTTCAGTGAATTCATGTGTTAAATCTCACTTTTAATCTGAAACAAGATACGTAAAATAACAACTATTATTTCTGAAGCTCAAAAATAATCCACAAAGTATTTCAAAATGTGGTAGTCCCAACAACCTTTTAGCAAGTTTGTGAGGTCAAAACTATTTTCCTTAATGGTACTAAGATGCTCTTTGCCTTTTCCACTGCCATATCTCACACACAGTGAAGTATTCAGAGGCTAGATGGCATATGAGCTTGCAAGAGATTAAATGTACATTAAAGATAATCCAGGGCTCTTCTGTTAAATTAGACATTAAAGAGATTTGCAAAAATACATTGCTACTCTGAGAACATATATAAAATATATGTATATTTTACTTTGGGAGGTTACTTTTTTTAATAAACATGTTATTTATGTTAATATGTTGAGGGTTCTTTTATTTTAAGTGAATACATTTTTAAATCTTAGTTTTAATGTCTAGTATGGTAAGTTTCAATAGATGTAAAACTCTTTGGGGTTCTTCAATATTTCCTTTTTACTGATGTAAAAATAATGTTTGAACACCACTGATATAACTGACCATAATTCTTATTACCTTAAAGTAAATTCTTTTAAAACCTGTTAACCGAGCGGGATGTATAAATACGTCAAACGTAAACAATATCGGGAACGGGTAGGACGTATGAATACATCCTGGAAGTATATGTTGCGCCCTGAGAGAGATGGTATATATTTTTTGTAATCTTTATAATTGTTTGTAAAATTTATAATTTTTTAATTCGATGTTTCCATTTTTTTGTTGGTATTTTCTATTTGTTTGTAATTTTGTATTTTCCTTTGTGCTTTATATATTAATAAATGAAAAAATATATATTTCATTTATTTTAATTAAGTATAAATAAAAAATAATAATATGAAATTATGTCCACTGAGTGTGACGTACTGACACGTCCTAGTGAAAGAGTATGCTCCCGTTGTACGTTGTGTAATTAAAAAGGGAACTCCCCGCTTAACAGGTTAACAATTGTTTTCTTCTGTTTCCATTTAATGACCAGTTACCTCATATGATAACTGATCCTGATCACTAAAGAGTGAGTGTGATACTGTAGAGTATTAGGGATTTAAGAGGTCTCTTATTTGGCTTCATGTGGAATTCCTCAAATCTTGCTTGATTTTTAAAATTTTGCATATCTTGTTAGGATACCAAGGTATCTTATAGATGAGGAAGACCTCTGCATATCCACCCTACTTTAAAATTTTCTTTTTTTAACTTTAGATTTCTAGTTTATTAGGTGTCTTTGACCAGAGAATATAGCCTGAAAATATCTTTATACTTTTTAGACTTAATGTTTTCCTGATGGTCAAGTAAATTGTTATTTTTAAACACATATTCTCTAGTTATAAGAGAACATGGCACCAGATTTTGTACCTATATATATATTAAGTCTGGTTTGTTGGTTCTTTTATTAGCTTTGTGAGGGAATTTTGTGTGTTTTTTTAATTGTATGACATACTACCATACACTGACCAGCCTGAAATAACACAAATTTATCATCTCACAGTTTCCATGGGTTAGAACTCCAGGTTTGGCTTAGGAGTCTAGTCAAGGTCCACAAGAGGAATCAAAGTGTCATCTAAACTGCCTTCCAGTCTAGAGCTTGAGGTCCTTGTCCAACCACATGATTGTTGCAGCGTTCACTTCCTTGAACTTACAGTACCAATGTCCTCATTTCCTGCAGACTGACAGTTAGTGGCTGCCTTGCCAGTTGACCTGCATTCATAGTCCCCACTGGAAAGTCCCTTGGGTTGACCGTCTCTCAAACTTTGAATCATTTTCACCAGGAACAGCCCAATCTCTTAAGGGTATCGCCTGATTAAGTCAGGCCCACCAAAAAACTGTAGATAATTTTTCATTTTTTTATTTTTTTTATTTTAGAGAGAGGAAGAGAGAAACATTGAGGTGAGAGAGAAACATTGATTGGTGTCCTCCCGTATGCACCCCGACAAGGGACCGAACCAGTGATTTGGTGTGTACAGGACAATGCTCCACCAACTAAGCCACACCAGCCAGGGCTTGACCATTTTTATTACCTTTTTTTCCCTTAACTTTAGTGGGCTCTTTAAAGAAATACTGTGTATTATAATGAAGGTATATTTCTCCAAACATTAATTCATTCCTTCAAAATTAACTCAATTTCTTTTACTTAATTTTAAAATACATAATTGGTATAAATTTTTTATACTACTATCTGTACTTTTCTACATTGTTTAAATAGTTTTGATAGGCATGTATTATTTTTGCAAATCAATAAAGCAATTGTTGAGAAATATTTGGGAAAATATACTGTAGCACAGTGGTCGGCAAACTCATTAAGTCAACAGAGCCAAATATCAACAGTATAACGATTGAAATTTCTTTTGAGAGCCAAATTTTTTAAACTTAAACTTCTTCTAATACCACTTCTTCAAAATAGACTCGCCCAGGCCGTGGTATTTTATGGAAGAGCCACACTCAAGGGGCCAAAGAGCCACATGTGGCTCATGAGCCGCAGTTTGCCGGCCACGCCTGTAGCATGTTAAGCATAACTATGGAAAATGTCATCTAAGTACCTTATATCATTTTAGTATTCCTCCAGAAAACTCTTGCAAAGTCATGCTGAAATAGTAAATATTATAAAACTAATCCCATATGTATTTTGTTTTAGGAAGAGGAGTGCGCTTATATTACATAGGTGGGGAAGTTTTTGCTGAGTGCCTAAGTGATAGTGCAATCTTTGTGCAGAGCCCCAATTGTAATCAGAGATACGGCTGGCACCCTGCAACAGTGTGTAAAATTCCACCAGGTATGGATACAACAACGTAAATAAAACTTCTTTTCTGGCTGCTGTTAATTTTAGGAATCAGAAGATGATTTGCATGCTTGTATTCTAATATGTGTAGCCCTTTGAAAACTATTTTCTTACAATGGTACTCTTTTTACACAATTATTATTATTATTTTACTTTTTTTTTTTCCATCATAGGCTGTAATCTGAAGATCTTCAACAACCAAGAATTTGCTGCTCTTCTGGCTCAGTCTGTGAATCAGGGTTTTGAAGCCGTGTATCAGCTAACTAGAATGTGCACCATAAGAATGAGTTTTGTGAAAGGGTGGGGAGCAGAATACAGGTATGAAATGCATATTCAGTTGTTAAGTTTCCACATACTTCTTTTTTTTCCTGCATTCTTTGCACAGTCCGGAGTTCACATGTATCTGTTTTCATTGAGGTTATGGAGTCAGTAGATCTTTATGTGAAATAAAAGAAAGTTGAGGCCTTCTAGATTCAAAATATAGTGAATTTCTGTTGCTGGCATTATAAAAGATAGGATTGAAACATGTATAGACATTCACTGTAACATAATACATGATGTCAGTTCATAGAAGGAGGTGTGTTTTCACTGGAGTTCAGTGAAGGTTTTTGGTAGAGATGATGGAGATCATGTACATTCTAAGAGATGTACAGTATTTTAGTAGTCATAGCTATGAGGGTGTGGCAGATGGTGCTTCTGGCAATAAAATAGCAGTTCAGTTTGCCTGGAGTGTATAGAAAATACAGAAGAAGAAGTCTGGACAAATAAGTTGAGACCACTTAAATATAAAGTTAAGAGTTGGAACTTGATTCAGTAATAGAAGGAGGTACTTATTAGGTGTCAGGCACTGTGCTTGTTTTAAATGTAGTTTCTCATGTCTTTCAACATTGCTAAGAATTTCTGTTACTATCTTTTCTTTATGAGGTTGCAGTCTTTGTAAATAAAAAAATGGTTCAGATTTATTTGGAAATAGGCTTACAAGAGATTTGATCATTTGCCCAAGGACACATTGTAAGTGGTAGAGACAGTACTTGACAGAAGTTCTCCTTGACTCTTAACTTCTTTAAACATAGTGGTACCAGTTACGTAATTGAGTTTTACAAAAGCACATTTGTCATCAAGGGGTAAGATAGATTACAATAGATTGGATTCCACATCAAAGAAAAGGAAAACTTTCTCAGCATATTAAAGGATGGAATTATAAATAAAATACTTGACCTTTCTCCACATCATTTGCTTACTCTTTGAATGTCTACTTAAGAAGATGTTCATATAGTATAGCAATAGAATTCCGCAGTTTGGGCCCTTCTTCAGAATTTATTTCATTTTATTTGGACTTGATTTCTGATCTTAAGTTGTGTGAGGTGGTTAGATTTGAGGTCTGTTGGTTGTATACTTCCACAAAAATATATTCTGTGCTGTATATTTATATCCTAGAATGAAGACTTCCCACTATTTTGTCCTAGTTATATTAGAATAATTCATTTTGTGACTTTGCTGTAGTTCTCTGCTTTAACTATTTCCCTTTTGGCATGTGATACATCTAAGAAATGCCGAATTCCTTTTTTTCCTTTGGACTTGAATTGATCTGAGTTGATATTAAAATTAGATTCTAATAGTGCTATTTGATATGATGTTTTCAGGTCAGATCTTTTTTTCCCTTTCAAGTGATTAGAATATTGCAGAACATGGTAGAAATCAGTTGAATTAAATATGAATAGATTAGAAAAATAGATTATAGGTCTCCCACTAAAAGCAGTTTTAATTGGGAGAGATACTGCCCTTCATTTACTGTGGACTGCCATTCTATAACCTAGAGGTCATTTAAAACCTATAATTATGAGAATCAATAATATACAGTATGGCTTTATGGGTGTAGAGTTAGGTACATCTATGATACTTGGATAATTAAGAAGCTTTCTTAAAATTTATAAATCAAAATACCTATGTATCTGTGAACTGTGGGTAGTTACCAGGAATCTTATCTTTAATGACTTTGGAACTGAGGAGGTAGTTTGTACTTCTAAGTTGGACTTCTAAAAACAGTTTTTTCATTTCTTTAATGCCAGCTCAATTTCCAGCATAAAGTCAGGAATACAGTAAAACGGAAATATAGATGTGTAAGGAATTCATATTTTATTGAGAAATAAGTGAACCAGTACTGGAGTAACTAAACAGATAGAGGGATGAATAATGCCTCAAGTGCAATTTTGTGCCCAAATAGATATAGTGACAGTATTCTTAAACTTTTTCTACCCTTAAGTGACCTAGATTAAGGATTTTTTGCTCTAAAGGTTAAACTAATATAGTAATGAAATGATCAGATTGAAAACAAACTGGGAAAAAAACAAACTTCAGCAAAAATCCAAACTTCAGCACATAGCAAAATCAAAATTAAAAGATTTTGGCAATATGGCTGCCAAAGTATGATCCAATGGAGAGATGAAAGGCAATAGAAACTGTGTGAAAAACAAAACAAAAAGAATGAAAGGGAAGATGAGAAAGGGTCAGTCTTGCCTATATCTCATGGCAGTTTGTAAAGTGTGCTTGTGCAATTTTAAGCTTTATAGATATTATATTAGTAGACATAGTATCTAAATCAGAACAAGGCAATGAGGGTTTGTCTCAGTGGATAGAGCATAAGTCTGTAGACTGAAAGGTCCCAGGTTCCATTTCAGTCAAGGGTTGGGTCCCCAGTAGGGGGCATGCATGAGGTAACCGATCAATGATGTTCCTATCATCTCTCCCTTTCCCTTCCTCTCTGAAATCTATAAAATAATAATAATTTTTAAAAAAACAAGGCAATGAGTCTATTCAAATCAGATTTGAAATATTGTGTTTTGTGTGTCATATTTTAGGAATGTCTTAGTATTTGTCTCAGACACTGAGACAAGGATTCAAGTGCAAAGTGTTTGTTCAGGAAATGGAGGAAACACTGGTAAGGAAGGAGGAAGTTGGAAGTGAGGTAGGGGAGGGAAGGCAGCCAGTATCATTATTAACCCATCTACTATAGCGGGTGGGTCACTAGTTTATTCCCTGAGGGAAACTTTGGAAAATGGTAAAGAACATTCAGAATTATCCCACCCAGAGGGAAAGGAAACAACATTTAAATGCCAATTCCTTTGTCATTGCTTGAAGGCTGCTCCTGGGAATATTAATTTTCTGGCACTTCTAGTCTGCTGCACATGTGGACAGAGCCAAGAAGTTCTCAGGCAGATAAGTGCAGACACTTGCAGTTGGAAGATGTCTAGAGCAGTGGTCACCATCCGGTGGTCCATGGACCAGTAGTGGTCTGTGAGGTCCAAAAGATGGCGACCCGCTAGTCTGGAAAACACTGAAAATGCTGAAGGGCATAATAGGGCACTGAGACCCTCTGCTACAAAAAACCACATCCCTTTAAATACAGTCTTAATATATTGAGCATGTGTTGCTTGGAGGTGAAATGTTGATAATAGCCTTTTCTCATGTTTGTAGGGCTGTCACAAAGAAGCAAGCAGATTTACTGACATATTAAATAAAACAACTGAAATCAGTACATAGAAATGACAGGATGTTATTGAACAATTTATGATTCCCAGACAATAGCTCTTTTTGTTGAAGTAGTAAGGATGTTTCTTATTAAGAGTCTGCATGATGTTGCTAAAAGGGATAGCATTGCTCTGTCCAGGAAAGTAGAACTAGTATAACTCTTAACATTTTATGATGAGCTTGGGTCAGAATTATGTTTTGGTATACTTTAACCTTATTCAATTTAGACTTCATATGGTATTTGAATATCTCCTATCCTGTAGTTGTTAAATAAGTAGGGTAACTATATATTCCTGTTAGCATGGGACAGTCCTGGTTTACGTCTCTTGCCCTGGCATGATTATTAATAGTGACTAAATTCCCTCCTAAAGGTGTCCCATTTTGGATGGTAAATAATAAGGTCACCCTACTAATTTTAATTTAAGGGGAAAAGAATGTTTTTTATAAATCATTTTAAAAGAAAAATGTCATTGAGAATATTTTGTTAGACTTTGAGGATTAAATAATTAGATACCCAAATTTATTCAAAAGAATTTAGGTTTCAGTATATACCACTTTTTACTTTATCTAAAATCTTATTGCATGTAACTAAACATACTAGTCATGTTCTCTTAACTTCATAATTATTTGCTTGTATTCTCTTAAACAGAAGGCAGACGGTAACAAGCACTCCTTGCTGGATTGAACTTCATCTGAATGGACCTCTACAGTGGTTGGACAAAGTATTAACTCAGATGGGATCCCCTTCAGTGCGTTGCTCAAGCATGTCATAAAGTTCCATCACCAATCCAGTCCCATCAAAAGACTTACTGTAACAACTCTTCTGTCATAGTATTTGTGTGTGGTCCCCATGGACTGTTTGTATCCAAAAATTCAACAAAGAAAACAGCACTTGAGGTCTCATCAATTAAAGCACCTTGTGGAATCCGTTTCCTATATTCGAATATTAGATGGGAAAATTAGTGTCTAGAAATACCTTTCCATAAAGAAGGAAGAGAAGATTTTAAAGACTTACTGATGTCTTGTTGGGCATAAAATTGAGTGTCCCAAAGGCTTATTAATAACTGTAGTAGTTATGTGTACAGGTAATGTATCATGATCCAGTATCACAATATTGTGCTGTTTATATACATTTTTAGTTTGCATAAATTAGGTATGTGTGTGCTGCTTTTTGATTTAGGCAAGCTTTTATAAAGTTACAGTACCTAATCTGTTATTCCCACCTTTCCGTTATTTTTGTGTGTCTTTTTTAATATATAATATATATCAAGATTTTCAAAGTATCATTTAGAAGCAGATTTCCCTTATAGAAAAACTAATTTTCTGCCTTTTACCAAAAATAAACTCTTGGGGGAAGAAAAGTGGATTAATTTTTGAAATCCTTGACCTTAATGCGTTCAGTGGGTCTTAAACATTTGTTCTTGTTGGTTGGTTGGTTTGTTTACTGCTAAATTTCTATAACAAAGCCTTGCAGAAAATCTTTTCAAACCTCTTCTCCATTCCTACTTTTGTTCTGGTACAAAAACAGAATAGCATGCCATCCATCGCCAGTAATGGTTGCACTGATAGTGCCAGCACCAGTTGCTTCTGGTGTACAGTAAGAATGCATATGGAGTAAGTTGCTTTGTCTTACACATTTCAACAGGTAATACTTGACTTGTGTGACCTAGCAGTCTATTAATTTATCCTTACACCTCATAAAAATATACATAGGTGGCAGTTTAATTATTTTCAGAGATATGCTACAATTATTCCATTTATCCTTTTTTATTTTAAAGCCAATCTATAGATGTAAACACTTTTTAAAAAAAAAAAAAAGGTATTTTAAATGTTTCAACAGCAGACCTAGTGCTCCTTGATTTGAGTTTCACTTGATTTAGTTACCAGATTATTTTATGAATGGACCTTTTGTAAATGTAATTGCACCTGCAGAATACCTAGAAAAGTGATGCTGAGGTGTGGTTAGCAGGTAAGGGCCATCTGTTTTTAAAATATGTTGTATTCAATTTATAAAATCACTTATTTTACATAATTATTAATGTAGAATTTTAAAAATTTGGGAAGAAGCAGTTCAGCAACTTTTTAAGCTTATAATCACCTACAGTCTGAGCTGTTCCTAACTAAAACTGAATATACGTTTATTACTAGAATTGACCACACTTTATGCTCTGCAGTAAGAGGAGCAGAAGCTTTGTGGGTAGTTCATTCTGCAGCAAGTAACTCTTAGGTCTAATGTGAAGTTATTGCTGTTTAAACATTACTTGTTTGCATCTCAGTAGAAATGAAAAATAACCACTCCTAGTCCCCTTCTAGTAAATTTTTATATTTTTAGGATAAATATCTTAAGTACTTGTTTTTTGAAATCACAGTCACCTGTTTCTACAGGTGTCATTTTCAGTACTTTCAGCATTTGGTTGTTTTCTGTTAAGTATTCCTCATTTTCAAATATTTGTGTGTACATGCATGTATTCTTGTAAACATGTAGTAAATTTTTACTTAATCAACAAATATTTATTCCTCACCTGTTAAATGTGCCAGGAACTTACTTAGCTTTTGGGTAAAGTTGAACACTATAGCCCTTTATCAGTTTTTTTGTATGTGAAGGAAATAAATAGGGTGATAGAGTATTACAGAGGGAAGGCTTCTCTAAGGAAGTGTTGCTTGCACCAACATTTGGTGTGAGAAAGGAGCAAATGGGCATTACTGGCAAAGAAAATGGCATGATATGCAAAGGCTCATTTTAGAGGAAACTCATTAGTTATGAATGCTTTATATGAACACCTCTACAGCAGATCCGAACTTGAGGATCAGAATGGTTCTACAGTTTATCATAGTTGAAGGTGGCCTTATTTTGTGATAGACTGTATCATTCTCAGTAATATTTTTTCTTCGTCAAGCCCTTACTCTAAAGTTCATCATTTGTCATACCATTTAACAACCCTTCTTTAAATAAGCCTTGGGTAAGTTTTCACCATTGTGGTGTCTGGCTGCTTGTTTCCAGACTTCTTGCTGCTCACTAATTACTACTTCTACAGGACATCTTTTGATTTGTGTAAATGTCCCACTTATTACCACTGCAGATCTGCTGGAGATAACAGGGGAGTCTCTGCCCTTTGCAGGTGTTTGTTGAAACTTGGGAGCAGTTCTGGGGACAGAGAATAACTTGAAAACTGGTGGAAGGTCTTGGCAGTCTCTCTTGCATTGATATGTTAAGTGAAGCAGTGCCAATCACAGCATGCCAATATGGAGCTCAGCTCCAGTTGCAATGGAATTCTGTGCCACCAGAAGCTGGGACTCAGCTCTTAGGAGGCACCTGTTGTATTGAGCAGTTATATCTGTCGAGCAGTTGGCTTTATGGTGGTGACTACATTTTTGTGAATATATTTAATGGTCTTGGTCATGTTTGTTTTTTACTTATAAATTATTTATTTCTGGGATTTTCCAGACCATGATTGGTCAGGAGTAACTGAAACTACAGAAAGCAAATCAGCAGATAAGGGGGGGACAACTATAGTTAACAGAAAGGCAAAATTATCCCATGTACATTAGCTGTACAAATGTTTTTAAGCAATACCGTACCTCCCTAAAGTTTTTTTTTTCTTCAAGATATTGAACCCAAAAAGCATTTGTTTATCTGCTTTTCTTCTTCATATTTCATGTGGCCCCCAAATATACAGCAGTTTCTTGGGCTATTCACAATTCAAATTTCTTAGAATATTTTAACCAAAGAGCATCTGCAATGCCCAAGTAATAATACCAACCCCCAGCTTTTTCCCGTATTTGCTTTTTTTTTTTTTTTAATATATTTTATTGTTTTTGTACAGAGAGGAAGGGAGAGAGATAGAGAGCTAGAAACATTGATGAGAGAGTCATCGATCAGCTGCCTCTTGCACACCCCCCACTGGGGATATGCCCGCAACCAAGGTACATGCCCTTGACTGGAATCGAACCCGGGTCCCTTCAGTCCCCAAGCCAACGCTCTATCCTTTGAGCCAAACCGGTTTCGGCCCGTATTTGCTTTTTAATGGGATGCTGTTTTTGCATTCTGTATTGTCTACAGTGGCCTCTTAACAAGGACCCTTTCTTTTTTCCCTCCCTTTATAGAGACAGCTTTCATTCTTCATGTGAAATCTCTTCTTTGTTGAATTTTGTCTTTTTTTAAATTAGCAACATTATTTAGAACTTCACAGTGCTAGTAATTTCTTCAACTCAAAGTGAGAATTGAAGGACCATGCTGTCTGTCACATTTAAGTGAATGGTGGTTTTCATAGTGGATTTGAGTCCATAGAGAGACCTTAGGGCTGGTGATATGCCCGCTGATTTTGGTCTAACCAGTGGCAGTTTCATTTCAATTTTATATTAGAGTTCAAGAGAGATTTGTTAAAAAGTTTAATTGCTTAAAAAATCGTTTGAAAAGCTTGTGCTGTTTAAAATTAGAGAAAACTGGATATCAGCCCACATTTTGGAATAATTCTGTGTTCTTTTCTCATCCCACTTTAAGGAACTTTCCTGATTAGGTTTGAACTAATTATGCTAGTTTTACATTATGGTATACATTTATTCAGTAAACATTTAATGATGCCTATTCTTTACCTAGACACTGTGATAGGCATCTAATAAAAGGGTAATATGCTAATTAGACCAGACATCTTTCAGTCATCCTTCCAGATGTCCTTTCTGACAAAGCCACAGTAGCGGGGGCCGAAGCAAGGGAGCAGTTAGGGAGCAACCAGGCCAGCAGTGGACCAGTTAGAGGGTGAACAGACCAGCAAGGAGAAGCAGTTAGGGGGTGATCAGGCTGGTAAGCAGAGGCAGTTAGGAGGGCGATCAGGCAGGTGAGGTTAGAAGCCAGCAGTTCCAGATTGCGAGAGGGATGTATCTGTGGGATCGGGCATAAATTGGAAGTCAGACATCCCTTACGAGGTCCTGGATTGGAGAGGGTGCAGTACTGGACTGAGGGACCACTCCCCAAAACCGTGCACAAATTTTGTGCACTGGGCCTCTAATTGAGTAATAAAAAGATAACTAGGATTTGGTCCTGATCGTCAAGCTGTGTTTAGCTTAGTCTTGTGGGAGTTACTTTCTCTCTTGGGACCTGTCACTTGGCAAGAAGAAAATCTGCCTAGTTTTTCTTGAAAGCTAAATAGTCTTATTCTGTATTCTTACTCTTATTCTATATTCTAAGTTTATATTTGCAAGTTGTGAATGCCTGGGGTGTTTGGGTGTTTTTTTTGTTTTTGTTTTTTTTAACCTTAAACTATATCCAATTTTGCTTGATTCATTGGTCTTTTAAACATTGTCAGATTTTCTCTTTTGTTGTTAATATTATTGTAATTTTACTTGATTTGAACCTTTATTGTCAGTTTCATCAAGACTAAAACTTTGAAGATGAAATACTGTACAATCAGTCTAATATCTTGCCAGTTGAACTCAAACAAGAGTATATATCCAGTTGGTTTCTCTACCTCTTCCAAAAACTGTCCAAATATCCTTTTAGGATATTCCTTCTTTTTAAAAAATAACTAATTACTTTGAACATTCATTGGTTGATGGTGGGATATAAAGTAAACAAGACAATCTTTACTTAAAACTTGTCTCATGTGCAGTTGCTTTCATAACCAAACATTCCAGTTTCACAGTTTGCCCCACTCCATTACCACCCCCACACCACGCCCTGTATCTCTTTGATAACTTAGTAGTCTGTGGACATAGAAACACTCTATCTTTTTTTTTTTTTTAATTTTACTCTGATCTAAGGCATTGATGTCTAGACATAACAAATTATTGCCCATTTTCATTCTGCCATGAGCTTTTACTTTGCTAAATCCTTTATAGTTATCAGCTAACTTTTATTCTTGCTCCCCTTCTCTTGAGATATGTCCCTAATGGTTTTGCTGATTGCTCTGATTATTGCGAGTTATGTTTTATCAGCGTGCATCAGAATGTTTCTCTCCTTTGACTTTTACAAAAGACCAAAAAGGATGGTGCTATTCATACCCAGGGTCCTAATTTCTTTGTGAAGGTTGATGTTCAAATTGGCCCATCACTTGATGCGAGAAATTATCTAGTTTAATGTCTTTGTGACTAGCAAATGGCATGTCATCGGGTTCTATTTTAACTTATGTTTAGGTTTATGAACTTTTCTGGCAGCGCAGGCCATGTTTTTCCTACAATATTGGCCCTGTTTCCACCTTGGAGCACATTGGATTGTCACATTTAGCACTATCAAGAGTAATGACGATAGTGTGTGGTCTCTAAAGGCAGGCAGAATATTATTATTGAGTTCCTTTCATATCTTCCTTTTCAAGCTTCTCATGGATATTTTGACTGTTCAGACTGCTTTATGTATGGGGATTGTGGGACAAATGATCTCTGGGTG